TAAGAGATTGCAATTCCCAATTCGATTGGCGTTTGCATTCACCATGAACAAAGCTCAGGGCCAATCTTTAGAATTGGGCGGTTTAGATCTAGACACGGGTTGCTTCTCACATGGACAGTTATATATTGCGTGTTCTAGAGTCGGCAAACCAGGTAATCTCTATATCTGCACAGACAATGGAACAACAAAAATTATTGTATACCCACAAGCATTGTGAAATTGAACATATTGGAAACGTGCGCATTCTCTTTTCTTTCTTTTCCATTTAACCAGACTGAGCCACAGCAACGCGTGGCCGGGTACCGCTACTCTTAAATAAATATAATGAATACTGAAAATCTTGTATCTATTCATATTCCAGTTCAATAATGGAAAGGACTATGTGGCAAAAATACGTTTCTCACGGTGTTGTCGCTTGCAGAATTCTTATACTTTTTCTTCTACCCTGAAGATGGGGGCGATACGTTCCTCCGAAACGTCGGTTAACACCACATATACACGGTGCCAAATCCCAGAAGACTGCTTTCTTCATAGTCACCGCCGTGAAAGCCTCAAATCTTACACATAACCCTTAATTTCAACAATAAAATGTCTACGGCTGCGGTGTTCTTGGACATCGAAAAAGCTTTTTATACCACGAGGCACACAGGATTGCTCTACAAGTTATCAAAATTGGAATTCTCGAACAGGTTGACTACTCTTATTGGGTCCTTTCTTACTTAACGTAAATTCAGAGTCTCGGTAGAATGCGAAATGTTAACGCCAAGGGAAATGGAAGCAGGGGTGTCACAAGGTTCTGTCCTTTCCCTTACTCTTTTCAACTTGTATATAAATGATGGCCCCAAAACTCGTGGTGTTCACCTGGCCCTCTTTGTGGAGGGCACCTGTCATTATGTGACAGATCGCAAGTAGGGTTTTATTGTTAGAAAACTCCAGCGCAGTCTCAGGTCAACGGAGACCTGTTGTGAGCGCTGCAATATAGAAATTAATGAAGATAAACCTTGGGGGGGAGGGNATGAAGATAAGACTCGTGGGGTCTACTTCTCTCGTGGTCGTCGACCGCCTGAGTCTTGTCTTACTCTAAATGGAAGAAACATTCCATTTGTAAATAGTGCAAAATATCTAGGTGTAATCTTCGATAAGAAAATGACTTGGAGTTTACACATAGAAATGATCGAAGCCAAGGCCTTCAGAACGTTCATTAGAGTTTATTCCTTATTCAAAAGTGAGCTAACATTAAACTGACCCTCCATAAAGCTCTTATTAGATCCGTAATGACTTATGCTAGTCCCGCTTGGGAGTTTGCGGCAGACACCCATCTAGTGAAATTGCAACGCCTGCAAAACACGGTTCTCTGCACGATTGGCAATTTTCCAAGGGACACACCAGTCAGCGATTTGCACATGGCATTCAAAATCTCGTATGTATATGACTATATAACAAAATTATGCAGGAAACAAGCAGAAGTCATACAAAATCACGATAATGAGAATGTTCGCAACATTGGACAAGGCGAAGCCTGCCACAGAAAGTATAAGGGGCTTAAACTTGGCGACGGTCAGGCATACGACCGATCAAGGGACAAGACTGACATGGTAGCGAGTACTATGAGAAATTGGGCATAATCTGCTGTACTGAGCCCAGACTGACAGAGACCTTGTATAAGTTATACATACTAGATATTAAGACTCAATTGCAAATAAGTGTACATAGTGAGGATGGACTGATACTATCGACTATGACTGACAAATGACACACCCGACTTCTTGTCTGAGAGGGCACCCCACATGGACAGGACAGTAACTTTCATCTAAAAGGATATTATAACAAAACTGTGCAGACGACAAGCAGAAGTCATACAAACTCATGAGAATGAACATGTTCACGGTATAGGACAAGGCGAAACCAGACACAGAAAATATAAGAGGCTTAAATTTGGTGGTGGTCGGTCAATCGTACAACCATTCAAATTACTGAGTTGTCATTGTAGCATAAGATATGTAAGTTAAGCATGGTCTACTCTGTAAATCCTGTACTGACAGAGGACTTGTGTTTAGTGCAAGCAGAAGAATTTTCAATAACACGTTATATGTGCGAAATATACACTTGGCAAAAGTTTAAGTGCATTCATAAGAGACAAAACCAACTCTTCATCAGAGAGGATGTGACATAAGGACTAGTACCACAAGAGTTCAGTTGGAAAAAGAAAAAATCTCTGGTCGCGGGCCTCAAGGGGCCTGACATCAAGATAAACTCATTGGCGGTAAAACCACCAGTCATAAAGTAACTCTGACTCTGAGCAGTTCAGTTAAAGTGTAGCAGTCACCAAGAACACGTGACCGAGAGCAGCGAGAATTATGATAGTGATGGAGAAGCATCTAGTGGACATTATAAGTGACTATAATTGGGACACTGTGAGTTGTGTGTGGATAAAAGTGTACAATAAATATTCGCTACATCCAAGATGGGCGTGAAGTTATTTGTCATGTCACATAGCCAACGCACGAGAGTATATTAAAAAATGTATATCACTAGCTAAATTTTATGTAAAATCTGTTTTTACTTGTTCTCTAGGGTGTGTGTGTGTCTGTGTGAAATTTATATAAATGTTTTTTGGGGGGGAGCATATTAAACTTTGGTAACCTCTGGAATACCACATTAAAGCTTGCTTTGGAATACATCTGAATGCACTAACAGTGATCCTCCTGTTAAAATATGCGTGTGTGTGTGTGTGTGTGTATGTATGCACACATCCATGTATGCACATGTTTAAGATAGCATTGGGTGGTATGGGTTGGATAGATCTGGCTCAGGATAGAGACCAGTGGAAAGCTCTTGTGAACATGGTAATGAACCTTCGGGTTCCATAAAAGCTGAGAAATTCTTGAGTAGCTGCAGAATTGGCGGCTCCTCCAGAACGGCTCAGCTCCATGAGTAAGTAAGTAAGATTTAAACAACACAATTAACTTTAAGCTGAAACAACTTACCTTTCTTTTAACTTTAAAACGTTTTTTATTTTTTTATTGAAACTGTTATGTCTTATGAGAATATTATACAGTTTAGTCCAGGGAGGAGTTATTCTTGGAAAGATAAGTCGCTTTGCTGGTCAAGAGAAACCTCCTCCCTTTTGTATCAAGTAAAATATTATCGTATTTATATTAGTCAATGGCACCCATCTTCTGTTTTATTAAATCCATTTCAGATGAATTTTAATTTTATCATTCCAAAAAGCTAAACCCTGCAGTAGTCGCTTGACTACAAGCTTACACACAAAAGAGAATAAAGCGTTTCATCTATCACCCTTCATTTTTTACAGTGTAGGTAATGAAAAGTTCAGTCCACTGTGTCATACGAGTCTACAACACTTCATTCATTCATTTTTTCACTGTTATCATAATTTGAAAGAGTAGACTTCATGAACTTCATCACTCTCATCTTCATTTCATTCCAGTGAACTGAAACTTAAATGTATGTGCTTTAGAGACTGCAGGAATTTAAGTTGATGGAACTCCATTCAGCTCCGCGGGTCACATGACCAATACTCCCAAACACAAAAACATCAGTTCAGGATATCACAAATGGGACCATCAACAAAACATCTATGAATGTAAACAAAGACAATTCAATACTAATGTATCATCATTCGTTTATTGTGGAAAGATGTTCCCCTACATGTTTCAACTTTCAAGAGGTCATCATAAATAATGCTGCAGAATCATTTACACATTCTCAATCAGTTTCATTAACTATGCACTACTACACTTCAACAATTGAAGCAAACAATATAACTGTGGGAGATCATGTCATATCTGTTTACTCTTAAACAGACAGGGGCTTGTATGGATCAGCAATCAGTAGCAAACAAATGCGGAATGCACTGACCTTTTGTAGTGTGGGGTGCAATTGATTTCCCTAGTCAGTTGGAAATGTTAGCACCTGCAATAACTCATAGCACTCTACAAACACACAGCACACAACAGAGAGAAAACTGTGTCATGAGCAGAAAGCTACAACTCACATGCTGGTCCTTTAGTTCAAACCCACCTCTACTGCTCTATGATGTAATACACCCATCACTACGTGCCACTCGATGTGTCTCCAGATGGCTCTGATGAGCAAACAACTTATTACACACCACACAGCTCTATGCCTGCTCAGCACTATGCATGCGCAGATGCTTCCTCAGACTACTCTTATCACCGTATGATTTATTACACACATCACAGCAAAATGGACGCTCACCACTATGTAGCCGTTGATGTACTTCCAGATTACCCCGCCAACTGAATGCTTTATTATACACATTACAGCAAAACGGCCGCTCACCACTGTGTAGCTGATGATGTGTCTTCAAACCACCCAGGCGACTGAATGACTTATTACACACGTTACAGCAGAATGGCCGCTCTCCACTATGTATGCGCAGGTGCCTCCTCAGATTACTCCGATTAACGAATGATTTATTACACACATCACAGCAAAATGGTCGCTCACCACTATGTAGCCGTTGATGTTCTTTCAGACTACCCTGCTGACTGAATGACTTATTACACACGTTACGGCAAAACGGCCGCTCACCACTGTGTAGCTGTTGATGTGTCTTCAGAAGGCGCCACTGAGTGAATGACTTATTACACACGTTACAACAAAACGGCCGCTCACCACTTTGTAGCTGTTGATGTGTCTTCAGAAGGCTCTGCTGACTGAATGACTTATTAGACACATCACAGCAAAATGGCCGCTCACCACTATGTAGCTGTTGATGTACTTTCAGATTACCCCGCTGACTGAAAGATTTATTACACAAGTTACAGCAAAACGGCCGCTCACCACTATGTATGTGCAGATGCTTCCTCAGACTACTCTGATGACTGAATGATTTATTACACACATCGCAGCAAAACGGCCGCTCACCACTATGTGTGCGCAGATGATCCCTCATATTACTCCTATCACCGTATGATTTATTACACACATCACAGCAAAATGGCCGCTCACCACTATGTAGCCTTTGATGTGTCTTCAGTGTACTCCGCTGACTGAATGACTTATTACACAAGTTACAGCAAAACGGCCGCTCACCACTATGTAGCCTTTGATGTGTCTTCAGTGTACTCCGCTGACTGAATGACTTATTACACAAGTTACAGCAAAACGGCCGTTCACCACCATGTATGCGCAGATGCGTCCTCAGATTCCTCCTATCAATGTATGATTTATTACACACATCGCAGCAAAACGGCCGCTCACCACTATGTATGCGCAGATGATTCCTCAGATTACTCCTATCACTGTATGATTTATTACACACATCACAGCAAAATGGCCGTTCACCACTATGTAGCCGTTGATGTACTTCCAGATTACCCCGCCGACTGAATGACTTATTACACACATTACAGCAAAACGGCTGCTCACCACTATGTAGCCGTTGATGTACTTTCAGACTACCCCGCCGACCGAATGACTTATTACACACGTTACAGCAAAACGGCCGCTCACCACTGTGTAGCTGTTGATGCGTCTTCAGTTGGCTCCGCTGACTGAATGACTTATTGCATACATCACAGCAAAATGGCCTCTCCCTACTATGTATGTGTTGATGTGTGTTGCACTGATGAGCCCTCAGATTACACTGTTGAGTGAATGATTTATCACACTTATCACAGGAATATCGCCACTCTGCACTCCATACAGGTTGAAGTTCGTTCACAGTACTCTGCGAAACAAGAGGAAATAACCTGAAAAACCCTCCCATGAGGAGAAATAATTTTGAAACTCATGACCACAGAGAGGTTAAACAGGTAGGAGGAGGGCAGAGAGGGGGGAAAGAGACAGAGAGAGCAGGGGTGTGTGCATCCATAGGTGTCCGTTAGAATGTATGGGTGACTGGGTGAATAAAAGTCAAGCTACACTACTACTGCATAATAAATTACAGAATTAAAAGGTATTATGCATTTGTCATCATCATGGTTCTAGATCACTTTGTTAGACTGTGGCTACTTCTTCAGCTTCTTGAGCCTAATCACAGTCAGTAGGACTCCTTGGACAGGGGATCAGCCAATCGTAAGGCCACTAACTACACAGGACAAACACAAATATGTATCTCTATAATGGTCTGGATAGCATATCAAAATGAAACAATAATAAATGCTAAATTTGATCTGTTTCATTCTGGTCCATTGCACTAACAAATTACAAAGACAAAACAACTCCGTCCAGTGACTATTGAAATTTTAAATACAACACAGCACGCCATGAACAAAGGACGATACCAAGAATCTCCTCAATATAGACAGGTGGCACAAGTTCAGCCCCCCTCAGGAAGAACGATAGGAAAAGGGACACGAAACTACTTGGTTTATAAATTTTAGCTTAAATGACAAAGTTTTAAAAACTTTAATATACCAAGAAAGCTGCTGTAGTTGTGGAAAAGTTGGATTTTGTATATATTGTGCATTACAAACATTGTATCTATATGTATTTTAACACTCAAAACACCCATTGCGATAGTAGTTTCCAAAAAGTACCGACGTCCCTCTGATGATGGTCTACAGGGACCGAAACATGTAAGGGTGATAAGTTTTCAAGTAGTAAAAACTTCAGCAGTGACACTGGACAGAGTTGTTTTGTCTTTGTAATAAATGCTAAGTTATGAAATGACTGTAAGCAGGCCCAGTGAAATCCTTCAAACAATATATTGTAACGTGTTTCATTACTGAATACGCCGTAGAGATGTTAATTGGTTTATTCAACAACCTACACGTAACGGCTACGATTAGTTATAACACAGCTGTGGAGTTTCACACTTTATAACCCTAATCACAATAATCTGTTTACACTGTTGCGGGGTTTCACAATTTATAACCCTATTCGCAAATCAATTCACTCTGTCTTCAGTAGTCTACACATTTACACAGCACGGGAGCCACACGAGTGCCACCATGTTACACACTCCCAATTACACAACTACACACACGCCCGGTTCTTCTTTCCGCGAACGCTGCTCTACTCCAACTGTAGGCGGCCGACTGGAGAACTGTCTTCGGCGTTGATACACTTTAACTCTCTACAGGGATAACTACAAGTTAACTCAACTACAACTGAACTCGCCAACGGCCACATTACAACTCCCCTCGCAGGCAGTGCAGCTCTCTTATATAGTGGCTGTGTTTGTCTGTTACGTAGCAACGCTGTTGGAAGTTGGTTACGGGTACGTAGCAATTGCGGCGTTGCGCATTACGTCACTGCGGGGAGGAGGGAGCGCTGACTCATCCGCCACGTCACTGTGGCCTGAGTTGTCACATTGCTGCTGGTTAGGGAGGGGCTTTCCGTTGCGCGACATGTCACAATATATATAAAATGACTCAAAGAGAAGAATAGAACAGAGTCAGTTATACAGATATGGCCAACACCCTATCATGAACAAATCCATGTTAGTGATCTCCTAGGATACCACATAATGTTCCCTGACCATGAAGAAGTTC